TATATATATATATATGGTATGGATGGGGAAGTAAAGCTCAGAGTGGTTAATGATTTACTTACAGTCATGTATCTTAATGAAAAAAATCTATACTAAATCTTTGTCTTCTGATGTTTAGCCTACTACTCTTTCTAGTATACTTTATTTTGTATTCTGTTATTTTTGTTCAGTAAGCATGGAATATACGAAAACATTTCTCATTTGAAAGTTGACTGTGCTTTGTTCCAGGATGACATATGAATTTCTCTCAAGGTGGATATTACATTTTTGTTTTTTGTTAAAAAAACAATTTGATGGTTCTTTTCATTGGGAAAAAGGAGATCTTTAGGCTACTATTGCTGGGAAATGATTGACTCAAATAGGAAAATTTTATTTCACACAAAATTTTAAAAAATGAATTTAGAATGTTTGCAAGTGTTTGTCTGCCTGAGAACAAGGTATGGGAGAGAAAGGGGAGAAGAACATGTAATTAGGCCTGAACACAGCAAAATACATGGCCTATAAATAAATAAGAGGTTTCTACTGGGGAATATGGGTTATGAAGATTTAGAGACCACATTTCAATAAAACTCTTATCATGTTCTATATAGTTACTATAAATATACAGTCCTTAGGCCTTTTATAAATTTATAATGCACAATGACCACACATTAGTAGTGTTCTAAGAAATAAAGTTAGAAAAGCTGTGGCCAACTTTGCGGAGGTAGGTACTGATAGAACATTTTTCAGAAGATAAAATAGTGAGCAGTAATTAAAACTCAAATTAAGAAGAATAAAACTAGAAAATAAAATCATAAATAATAGCCATTTCTTTTTTTTTTTTAGCTGAGCCATCCCGCCACCTGTTGGCAGCTCACGGCTGCTCAGCTCGGGCTGACTTGAACCACTGTTGCTCAGAGCTCAAACTCTTGAGCGAGCTCTTAACCAACTGAGCCACTCAGCCGGCCCCCATTTCTTTTTTAAATTAAATTTATTTTGGTGACAATGGTTAGTAAAACTGCATAGGTTTCAGGTGTACAATTTTATTATACATCATCTATATATCACCTTGTGTGCGCACCACCAAGAATCAGTTCTCCTTTCGTCTCTATATATTTGACCCCTTACCCTCTGGTAACCACTAAACTGTTGTCTGTGTCTATAAGTTTTTGTTTCTTTATTTGTCTTGTTCCTTTGTTGCCTTCAGTTTTATATCCCACATATGAGTGAAGTCATATAGTTCCTGACTTTTTCTTTCTGACTTCTTCCACTTAACATAACAATCTCAAGATCCATCATGTTTTCACAATGGCAACATTTCATCTTTTCTTATGGCAGAATAGTATTCCATTGAGTATATATACCACATCTTCTTTATCCAGTCATCTATGGAAGGATGCTTTGGTTGTTTCCATGTGTTGTCCACTGTAAATAATGCTGCAATGAAAATTGGAGTACATATATCTTTATGGGTAAGTGTTTTCAGAATTTTTTTGGATAGATACCTAGGAGAAGGATTGCTGGGTCATATGTAATTCTATTCTGAATTTTTTGAGTAACCTCCATAATGTTTCCATAGCAGCTGTACCAATTTACATTGCCACGAACAATATATGAGAGTTCCTTTTCTTCCACAGCCTCTCCAAAACTTGTTATTATTTATTTTGTTCATCATAGACATTCTAACAGGTGTGAGGTGTTATCTTATTGTGGTTTTGATTTGCATTTCACTAATAGCTGGTGAATTTTTGCATTTTTCATATATCTATTGGCTGCTTATATGTCTTCTTGGGAGACAACATATTCAGGTGCTCTGTCCATTTCTTAATTAGATTTTTTTGTTTTTTTCTTGTTGAGTTGTACGAGTTCCTTATTTATTTTGCATATTAACACCTATGGGAGGCATTATTTGCAAATATCTTCTCTCATTCTGTTGGTTACCTTTTCATTTTGTTGATGGTTTCTTTCGCTGTGCAGAAGCTTTTAATTTTATTTGTTTGTTTAGTTTTTGTTGTTGTTGTTTTGGGTTTGTTTTTCTTTTTGAGATTCCATGGACCTCTGGGTGATTAAACTCAGGTTTCAAGTCACTATGAGGGATTCACTTTTTTTTAATTAAAACTTATTGGGGTGACAATGGTTACTAAAGTTACATAGGTTTCAAGTGTACAATTCTGTAATATGTCATCTATATATCATCAACAAGACAAATAATAGTAAGTGTTGGAGAGGCTGTGGAGAAAAAGGAATTCTCATACTGTTGGTGGAAATGCAGATTGGTGCCGCCTCTATGGAAGGCAGTATGGAGATTCCTCAAAAAATTAAGAATAGAATTACCATATGACCCAGCAATCCCTCTCCTGGGTATAGACCCAAAAAATCTGAAAACATTTGTCTGTAAAGATGTATGTGCTCTGATGTTCATTGCAGCATTATTTACAGTGGCCACACATGGAAACAGCCAAAGTGTCCTTCGACAGATGATTGGATGAAGAAGATGTGGTGTATATACCAATGGAATACTAATCTTCCACCAAAAAAAAAAAAGACAAAATAGTGCCATTTGCAACAACATGGATGGATCTTGAGATTATTATGCTAAGTGAAATAAGTCACACAGAAAAAGTCAAGAACCATATGATTTCACTCATATTTGGGATATAAAACTGAAAGTAACAAATGAACAAGACAAACTAAGAAACAAAAACTCATAGAGACAGACAACAGTTTAGTGGTTACCATAGGGTAAGGAGGAATGGGGATGGAATATGAGGGTAAACGGGATCAGAAGCTTTTAGTTTGATATAGTCCCATTCATTTTTTTTTTGCTTTCACTTCCCTTGCTTTTGAGGTTAAACTCATAAGAACCTTTTTAAATCCAAGGTCCATAAGTTTAGTACCTATGCTTTCTTCTATGCTGCTTATCATTTCAGGTCTTATGTTTAGGTCTTTGACCCATTTTGAGTTAATTTTAGTATATGGTGACAGATAGCAGTCTAGTTTCATTCTTTTGCATGTAGCTTCGAATTTTTTCAGCACCATTTATTGAAGAGGCTTTCTTTTGTCTATCGTATGTTTTTGGCTCCTTTGTTGAAAATTATCTATCCATGTTTATGTGGGTTTATTTCTGTGTTTTCGATTCTATTCCATTGGTCCATATGTCTTTTTTCTGCCAGTTTCTGCTGTTTTGATTATTGTTGTTCTGTAGTTCAAGCTGAAGTCAGGGTGTGTGATGCCTCCAGCATTGTTCTTTTTCTTAGGATTGCTTTGGCTATTTGAGGTCTTTTGTGGTTCCATACAAATCTGATGATTTTTTGTTCTATTTCTATAAAAAATGCCATTGGGATTTGATGGGGATTACATTAAATCTGCATATTGCTTTAGGTTATATGGCTATTTTAACTATGTTGATTCTTTCAATCCATGAATACAGAATGCCTTTCCATTTCTTTGCGTCTTCTTCAATTTTTTTTAATTGCCCTATAGTTTTCAGTGTATAGATCCTTCATATCCTTTGTGAAAACAATACAATAATTTCCTTAGGTATTGTATTGTTTTTATTGCAATTACAAAAGGAATTGGGTTTATTATTATTTTTTTTGAAATTTCACTGTTAGTATATAGGAATGCAATTGATTTATGTACATGATTTTGTAGCCCGCAACTTTCCTGTAATCCTTTATTTTTTTCTAATACCTTTTCGGTGGAGGCTTTAGAGGTTTCTATATAAAGAATCATGTCATCTGCCAAAAGTGACAATTTAACTTCTTCATTCCCTGCCTTTTATTTCCTTGTTTTGCCCAATTGCTCTGGCTAGGACTTCCAATACTGTGTTGAATAACAGTGGTTATAGGGACAACCTTGTCTTGTTAGTGAATGTAGAGCAAAAGGCTTCAGTTTTTAACTATTAGTTATGATATTACCTGAGGATCTGTCATATATGGCCTTTATTATGTTAAGGTATTTTCCTTCTATACCCATTTTATTAACTATTTTAATCATAAACAGATATTGTATCTTGTCAAATGCCATTTCTGTATTTATTGATATAATTATATGATTTTTATCTTTTATTTTGTTTATGTGGTATATCACATTGATTGATTTGTGTATGTTGAACCATCCTAGTGCCCATGAGATGAACCCCA